GGTCTCACGTCGACGGGAATCATATCTCTCTCTCTCTTTTCTCTCTCTCTCTCTCTCTTTTTCTCTCTCTCTCTCTCTCTTTAATGGATTTGGAGAGAGTTCCCTCTTCTCAAGATCTCGAAAATATTAAATTCCCTCTCTTTATGCAGAGACTGCTTTGCCAGTCGTACGCTGTCGAGGTAAAAAGCGAACAGGAGGAAAAGAGAGTCGGGTGTTCGGGCTCCTTTCGAAGAACGCGGATTCGGGACACTTCCGGATGCACATCCCAATGCATTCTGATATTACTTTCTGCGACGCGCGCCCGCCTCTCTTGCAATTGTAATGAGCGTCCGCTGCGCGCGACGTAGAGGGATTTGCTGGCGGTAATAGCATGCAAACATCCTTACGAAGGGAACACGAGGACGTCCCGTATCTCCTTCCCTCTTTTCCCGCAGTCGTGCGTGACGTCACGACGAGTTAATACATCTGCCTACCAGACACGAACGCTGGTACAGTGTCCTCTCGGGCGAACCTTGACGACGGCTGGAATTTTCTCGCGTTTTACACCGGCGTGCATGGTTGCACCCGTGGTTTCCACTCCGGGTTATAAAAATCCCTGCAACTGATGTTTTCTCTCGACGTCGACGTCGACGCGCTACGACCTTCCGCGGATGTTAGCAACTAACGTGTACAACGAAGGACATGATGCGACGAAGAAACGTCGACGAGTTTTGTCGACGTAGCACATGAAAGCTTTTAATAATCTCTTCATATTCATAATTGCTTTATTATGCACAGCATTATACCGTCTTATCCTTTAATTTCAATTCTATATATTTTTATATATTTCTTATTGTATTATTGTGTTTGCACCATGTTAATTTTAATAATTATTATGTTATTGCTGCAACATTATACGTATAATGCATTGGTTCTTAGAAGAATATTCCCAAAAGGAAAGAAACTTGTAAACTTTTTGTAAACATTTATACGAAATTCTTCTCTTTGCGACTTACATCTTAATATATTCCAAGCATTGCATTTTATGTTTCTCTTAATTATAGATTAATTGTAGATTAATATTACGTGATGATGATTAAAACATACATGTTAAAAGGGAATTTGATACCACATCGTATTAATGAAAACATGCTGCAATATTACTCTTACTTCATCGCGCGATATTTTTATAGATTTTTATACACGGAGATGCAAACATCTCTTTTGCGGTTCTTTTTACGCAAAACAAAGATGGTTGCGTTGTCAAAGTACTCGTTCGTACCTTTTTCACAATAATGATACGGCAAGCAGCGAAATGGAAAGAAAACATGGTAGTGGAAAAATCGCGTTTACCGAACAAATTATAAGAAAATAGTTATGACGAAATTGTGGTTGCTACGTTATACGTACCATCGTCATGTGTAATGGTGGTCTTTCTCAGGGAGTGCGCGCTAAGAAAAATATAGTACGCCAGAGTCCGCAAACTTTTGGTTTGTCGCTATCGCTGTTTTAAACAATTCTGTAAAGCGGCACTTTTCTCCGTATTTTTTGCAAGATATGTTTAATGGTCTAGAGTTTACATACAAAACTGCCATTTTTGTATATTATCCGCAAAAATGTGTAATAAGTGGAAGACAAATTTAATTATCTATGTTATTAGTTTGTGGTAGCGTTACAAACTGAAAGTACATAAAATTACATCGATATTAAACAATTAATTCTCGCATTAACAATTAAGATTTTATTTTCTTTATACTGAAGCATCATTTAAGATTACTTTTGTAATTAAATTGCAACAGTTTTTTAATAATTATTACATGAAATATAAATGGATGTATATGGAGCAACTTGAATAAGATCTAAAATTAAATAATGAACTGAAAGTAAATGGGCTAAAACTAGAGCTAAACCAAACAATAAAATTTTTATCTTATTGATGATTTTGCTCTTCTTCGCTAAGATAGCAATCGGAATATCACGAAAATATCATCTTTAATAATTATTACATGAAATATAAATGGATGTATATGGAGCAACTTGAATAAGATCTAAAATTAAATAATGAACTGAAAGTAAATGGGCTAAAACTAGAGCTAAACCAAACAAAACTCTTTTTCGCTAAGATAGCAATCGGAATGTCACGAAAATATCATTGTTCTTACTAGTTTCCATCGAATTGACATAACGCGTCGGATGTGCCTTCGAGTCGTGAAATATTTGCATTTGCCATGACGTTTAAATGCATCCTGGGATAAACATACGCGCGTTTTACACATACTATATATATAGGCCGTAATTCACGGGAATGTAACATCATAAGGAGTACATTACGCGCGCGTTACTCGTTCCACACACAAGTGACCCTAATGCATCCGATATCCGTTTCCCCAAGTCGGTCAAGACCCCTTAAGAAGATGCATTTCTACTCGAGACTTTCTTCCCATGCTCGTTCGAGGAGATGCGGGTGCATTCGAATAGTCAAGGTTTGCCTGTCGATGAGGCTGGTGATCTGTGCGGGAAGATTGTGAGTCGGGAATTGAGGGGGAGGGGAAGGGGAAGTAGGAGAAGGATGATTTATCTCCCTTGGACGCGAAGATTTTACTTCGGGTGTTAGTTCCGCCGGTTGAACATCCAGATGGAAAGCGGGCGGTTTATGTTGGGCGGTGCAAGGAAGGGTTGCCGCGAAGTTCTTATCGGCATGTATATAATTTTCGGTAGATTCGCAACAGTTAGTAGACTGCGGCTGCCCTTTGCCCTTTGCGAACACGAAACTTGCTGTACTACGGCAGGATACTTACGACCGACGTTTACGTTTGCGAAGCAACACATTGTTCCCCAAGGTGCATTAGGGCGGATTTCCTGTCCCTATCGGTTAGTTGAACACGATTTAGTTGGGCGTTTTTTGTCAGGCTTAATATTAAAGCGTTCGGGATCCTGGATGAGCCACAATTCGATGCGCGAAGTTTCAGTCTTAAAGTAGGGCAAATTGCATATTCTCTTGCACAAATACACAGACTCAGTTTTTTAAATATTTATCATAAAAATATCACAGTCAGTTTTTCAAATATTTATCATAGAGATAAAAATATAAATAAAAATGTGCGAAGCGTGATCAAAGCGAAAAATATAAAAGATCTTTTAATTATTTTAAGAATAACGTAAAAAAAATTAAGGCAATATTTTTATTTGATATTATTGTATCAGTGCCAAGTTAGGAATAAAGTATTGGAGATTTTACTGCTTCGAAGAAAAATGATAATCAATATTTTTTTGCGAACGCCGTATAGAAATTGCGTTATTATAAATTTTTTATTTCATTAATGATGATGTTAGAAATATACTCGGTTTAACGATTGTGCTCTCGACATAAAATTTTGGGCATTTTATATACGAGATTCTTATTATTTTTATATATATTAGATATATCTTATATATGTTAGATTATATTCTCGTCCGCTTTGGATTTTTCTTTGTTTATGATATTCGAAGCCTGCTTGCCCTTTTCTCTCTCTTATCTTGTTATAGAGCAAGCATTGATTTTTGCAACGGATTCCGAGTAGCGAACTGATAATTAAGATAGCAAAGTGGCTCTTGCTCTGCAGTCGACAAGCTGTTGTCAGTAAGTTGCTCGGCAGTTTGCTTTCGTCGATGACCGAACCACTTTCATGGGTTTGTTTAAAAACAACGCTAGCCGTTGCGGTGTTATCATAAGTTCTTCGCTTGGAACATCCGTCGGGATAATCTCCCTGTTTATAGAAGGCGAAAATATCATTGTTCTTACTAGTTTCCATCGAATTGACATAACGCGTCGGATGTGCCTTCGAGTCGTGAAATATTTGCATTTGCCATGACGTTTAAATGCATCCTGGGATAAACATAAACCCCCCCCCCCCCCCCCCGGTCGGCTTTCTTTAACTTCTCTCGCAAATACGCGCAAAAGATGTAATCCGATTACACGTTTTGATACATTTAGAGACGGTGTAGAACAACATGCGCGCTTGACTGCATTTTATCGGATGTATTTTCTTGCCGTTTGTGCTTTAGTCTCATATTCTGTGCGTAGTCAAAGAAACGATCTCTTTCTTGGGTTCAAAGCCAATAATTTTTGTACATCTTGATCTGCGTACTTTCTAAACAAGAAAATGTTGAAAGAAATGCGCGTCCTCTTGTATTTTACGTTATATCTAAATGTAAATAACATTGAGAAATATCTCTTTTACCAAAATTAATTTGCAGATTTCTGTGCTTTTTTACGAATAACTTATTTGCTACAAATAAATAACATATGCTTTACACCTACTTCCAACTGTTTTTTGAAGGATTCGCGTACCTGAATTAATGTTCTTCCGGACGTTACTCCGCCGTCGAGAACTAATGTGAGATTCATCATTATACGACGACCTCATCTCGCCATAGTCTGTTTTATTCCGCTCACGTGTCCCTATGAAATTATTCACGCTAGTCGGCGACACATTGTGCCTCGCGGTTCTGGAAGAATAAGTGGCGAACGTAAAACGCGACGAAGAGGGAAGTCGTTCCACGCCGATGTAATGGGAACTTGTTACGACGAGAACACATATTCGTCTCACGATTACTTTCTTTGTCAAATTTTCGGTGACTTCTGCAAGCACGAGTACAATAATTAATCAGCACGTCGCGATAACTCATGTTTCGTGAGAGAACTTGGTTATTATTTCATACCTTTGCTTCGCGTCACGTAATCATACAATTATATAATCGATTCATCACGTGATTGCTATCATTATAATGAATTTAGTATTCGCTCGATGTTACAAACACGGAGAAATGTATTAATTAAAAATTCGAATCTTTTCTAAAATATAGGAAGTATTACTTATAATGTTATTCATCAAATAAAACGCAATTAGTATTTGATCTCTAATCAAAATCACTCTCGTATATCTGCAGCAACTCGAAATTTGAACTCTCCAAAATGATGTTTGTTTCGATGCTCGTGCAAAATGACGCCGGTTGTAATCAACCGTATTTTTCTTATCCCTTTCAGCTGGGATGCCGGCCATGGAATCTCAGTCTGACGAGCGTGATCATCTTGGCGTTATCGAATATGCTGTTAACGTTCCTGCTATTGCAATCGGAGACTTGTATGCCGGAGACCATCCCACAGAAAATAGTGGAAGTGAGCGCCGTCACAGAGTGGAATCTCGGTACCCTCGTCAAACAGCAGGAACAACAGCCGGAATGCATCACGCAGGATTATCAACCGACGTCACCTGATGCTAACAGTCTGCGACTGGATATTAAGCTCGGTAGATGGGACGCTCGGCGGATATTCCGAACGTTCGACTCGGTGCTAGTCGGTAGCAAATTCACGGAATTGTCGCAGACCTACCGGGTATGTTTGGCTACCCAGAGTTCCGTGGAAAAACTGCATTCGCTGGTGCAGGTTGCCTTGCATTGGACCGGACCGATGTCCGTGGCGCTTTACGCTGCCGGTGACGAGGAGTTCGAGGTACTGCAGCGTTACCTGGTGTACCTGAGAAGATGCTACGAGTCCATCAGAGAAAGGGTGATCTTCTCTCTGGCTGTGCCGAAGATGCGACCGCCTAAGAAACAGCCGCGCGTCTTCGAGCTGCCGGATATTATCGATTGTGCCAAACCGGAAGCCACTCTAAACGAGTTCGCGAGACGTATATCTAGCGAGCAGACCAATTGGCGGATACGTAACGTTTATCCGCAGAACCACATGCGCAATTTAGCGCGCAAGAACTGCCAGACGGACTACGTGTTTCTGACGGACGTTGACATCGTGCCGAGCTTCAATCTGACGGCCGCGCTCGACGAGTTCCTCAGGAGCGACAACTGTGATAAGTGCGCCTACGTAATACCCACGTATGAGTTAGATACGCGGATGAGATTCCCCCAGAACAAGACCGAACTCATCAGGCTGGCGAGGAAGGGCCTAGCCAGGCCCTTTCACCAAAAGGTCTTTATACATAATCAATTCGCCACAAACTTTACAAGGTAAGTGATTTTATTAAATACTAACTTCCCTTATAAATTTGTTAAAATAATATTTGCTTCAATCAAGTGAAAATAATATATATATAGACATTATTAAAATATATTTATATAATTGATTTAATATCTGTTGAATTGAAATTGAGTGACTCAACATAATAACGTGAATATATAATAGTTTTCCTATTACAAGTTACAGTATATTTATATGATTTTAATATACGTAATTTCCACCGTTATTCAGGGATGATTATTTAGTGAACGTAATTCATGCTTGATTGCGACTCTCTCTCTTTTCTCTCTTTAAAGATATATATATATATATATATATATATATATATATATATATATATCGTTAATTAAATATACAAAATGTTACTTGGATACTGCGCGACATATGTGTATGTTTGAGAATTTTTTATTTTATAGGTGGCTGCAGGACGTGTCGCCGACACATAAATATCATGAAAACGTAAGGACCGGTAAGATCTACGTTAGTCATGACGTGACGAATTTCGAATTCCTTTACGAGCCGTTTTACGTGGCGAAAGATATCGCACCGTCTCACGATGAGAGGTTTATGGGATACGGATATACGAGGAATACCCAGGTACGCGATATTCCCTAGGATATGTCTCCTTTTTTTCTGTTTGCGTTTGCCATCCACGTGACGAATACGTTAGTGGCAATGTGGAATCGAAAATGCAATTTCGCTCGAGCACGAAATAACATGAAATTTTACAATGCGAAAGTTTATATTCCATCCGAGGTGGATTTGATGATACGAACGCAGTTCTTTCCGTTAATGCATGAAAATACTCGTATTCGAGAAGATGAGCGATGTACCTGTATCATGCGCCATTATGCGCCATTATGGCCGTTGTTTGCAAAATGTATCAAATCAGTCAGCAATAATATCGTAGAACGGCTTGAATTAAAAATGTTTCTGCGGCAAAATTACCATCGATATTCTCGATGAAAAAGCGGATGAGTGATAAAGAATATAAATGTGGCTCAGACCCAAATGTACCCATGATAATTGCACGAACGCGAGATGGTATTTTACCGCGCTGTTCGTTTAGCTCAACGTCGAGAGATAAAAAGTATGCTATCAAAAATTAATATACCTTTTGGGACATTAATGGGATTAACGGAGATAAATGGCAATAATGGAACCGGTAGCCACTGTCCATTATTATACTTACATAGTTTCTACGTTACTATGTAAATACGTGGCATAAATTACACTAAAAAATGTACATTTTGGGGTATAATTGGTAAAAACGGATATACACATGTTTCCATGTTTTATAATTAGTGTTTTAAATTATAATATTTTGCTAATTCAAGGACACAAGTCGTGTTACGGAAAAGTCATGCGGATGTACGACAATGACGGTAAAGTTTTAGCAATGTAGAATGTTAGCGAGATCCTGGCGTGAGCCAGGGGAAAACGAGCCAAGGGCGCTCGTTTGTGAATGGTACGTTCGAGAATAGCAAATTGGAGTGAGCATGCCCCCGTGCACAGCCGCGACATTAATTGAATTACATATTATCATTGCCGCGCTGTTATCGGGCCGATGGAGGCTCGTTTCGCGGAACGATCATTATTCAATTTAAACTTGATGCATCCCCGGTTGTGTAATCGAACGTTTGCATATCGGGACAGCGTTGTGCGGGCTGCAAATTGCGTTCGCTAATGTGCTTTTCAGGCACGTCATTCTCGCCCGAATTATGGAAGAATTGCTAATTTCTTAGGCCGATAACATCAAACTTTGAAACTTCATCGCGTATAGCTCGTGGCGTATCATGCGGATGAAAATTGGATATCATGGAACGGAGAGGATTTTCGATCTCAAGTATAAAACTCGAAAGTGGAAAAATAATATTTATAGATGCTTCAATTTACCTTTCACAGAAAATCGATCGTAAGTTTTTCTTCTCTCTTAAACGCAGCTGTGTGAGAGAAAGATCGGGACAATTAAAATTGCAGCGGTCTCTAAAAGATTATTTGTACCGAGAGCCACGAAGCAGTGGCGACAACTTTTTCGCTTGCAGTCCATACACGAAGAGTTTGCATACCTCTGAGCATATGGATGTACGTTCGTAGGGTGGCACGCGGGTCCCGCGTTGTTTCGACGAGAGAAGTGTACGATGTTCGTGGTTTTCGACCTCACGGCGGAAATAACGAAATTCCATCGCACGGCGAAAATCCGAGCGCGACGACCGTAAAACGAAGTATGCCAAGTACCGACGGCAATAAAACGAGCGTAAATCTACGTGTATACGTATCGCGACTGCGTCGTCGACTTGCAAACAGTGGCGATGGTGGTGTGGTGGTCGTGGTCATGCGGCTGATATTACATGCCGGCGGACACCGGAAGTACGTACTCGCAAGCGCGTCTCCTTTGCGGTTTACGTCGCGCAACATATATTCACTTCTGCGGAGGAATGAGAATGGGTATCGTTTATTTGTGTTCTCTCTTCGTTCCCTACGACACGTTTAGATAACTGCCAGAGATTCATTTCCGAGATGTATAACATTAAGACTAAGCTACTATCTGATAGCCTTCTTGGGGAGGGAAGGGGAGAGGGTGGACAAAACGTAACGTTGGCAATTCAATCTCCATCGCTTTTATAATAAAAATATTCTTGTTGTACGCTACTCTATTTCGTTGTCATCGCGAGATTTTTTTACATGAGTAAATTTTTTAACGTATTTTGTTTTGTTATATGCATATTGAATGTTTATATATATATATATATATATATATATATATTGTTTTCAAAGTGTTTCGATTAAATCTACATATTTTTATACCAGGCGTCGAATTTTAAACCGCAACTGACAATGCAGCGAGATGCCTTTCCAGCCGATGCGCGTTTCTCGCGAGGACGCATCGCTGCCGGTTAAATTTTATTTTGCGTTAATTAATCTTCGGTTGTTTGCGTATACAATGTGCGAGAACAATGCGGTATGCGCCATAATCGACGCAATTACGCTAGTTCCCTGGCTCGCCTCGATTGCCCCGGTAAAATGAGTATGTTAATTGCCGATCGATTCGTTAATTCTCCATGCCCTCCACGTCCCTTTCTATCGCGTAGCCTTTGTCTGGTTGAGCGGGCTTAACTTTCCCCTCTTCCTCTTTCGATTCAACCTTCAATTACCCGCCGACGCACTGGCCGATTGTCGATACGACCGATATAAAGGTAAAAGATTCGGGCCCGATGAGACGCGCGGCACGCGTTGCTCGCTCGCGATTCCTATATATCGCATCGACGATCGATCTTGTCATCGTCGATTCGACACACCAACGTAGTCGAACCTCGAGGGATTCTTTATTGTCGTGTTTATCGAGTGCACCGATCGAGCCGGCCCGGCTTGATATCTCATCAGACCCGGCGTTATCGGATTGATTCCCGGCTTCCAGGGCTGGCGCATCACGACAAGTGAGATAAGCTTGGCATGAGAAATAAAAGAATAAAAATGCAGAAATAAAAATAATCGGAAAATGAACACACATTCTCTCCGATGTAGTTTAAAAGGATATATAGTTATAATTATAAATTCAGATCGATAATTCGAGAGTCGTGTAAAAAAAAAAAAAAATCATAAAAAGAAGATAAATTAGTATTGTTTTTACAGTAGCCAATTTCTCAAGCATGATAGTAATAAGCAGAGGAGTTTTCACGAAGTTGATATTAATTAGGAAATTGAATATCGATTTATGCGTTATATCAGGGGTGTTAGAAACCCCACGCCGTTACTGCTTCGTGAGGTGACGCATTTCCATTCGCACTGTATATATCGAGTGGTACCGACGTTGTTCGCCGTTTGAAATTTTGTTTCTCGTCGTTCGTTGATCCATTATTCATTATCGCTTCAAGCTAATCTATAATAGCGATACATTCGACTCTCGAGGGTAGATAGGTAGATAGTATGTCGTTGTCGCGAGAGAAGTGGCACCGAAGTATCGCACGCAACCACCTCGCAGATGATTGCTATCAAGTCGGAAACGAGATAGTTCGTTCTAGATGCTTCAACGTAGCGGTCACTCTACTACGTTGATTGAGCGATTTGGTCGACCGGGATCGTAAATCAGAGGCACGAATAGAACGATCCGATTTGCTCAAGCTAGTTGCGAGCGACACCTTCCATCGTTTGCAGTTTGTCGAAAAATCAAACGGAATATAGAGTCCAGACTTGCGCATTATATAGTCATTGTAAAAGCGCGAGACGAGAAATTTAGTGCCGAAGGTGTGTAAATAAAGTAAAAATAAATCCTCTTATCGCTATGAAATTTTTAGAAAAAACTTGAATTTACAGAAGAGATAGGATGTTGTTACGAGCCTCTCATCTAGTCTCTCGTCAATTGCTCATTAATACGATTAACATATTTACAGTATTACGCGATAAATTATTTTACATGACTCATTAACGCTTGATTCAGCTTTTGACATAATTTATTTCAGCTTAATTCGTTCGATAGCATGCCGTTAATTTTTGACGTAACAGGCTTTTGCACATTCAAATATGACTGATAGCATATTTCGTAATTAGATGTTTAATGTGGAATTAAGTAATATTGAATAAGTAAATTTTATTTTATATATTTCGCATTACGCGCATTTAAATTTGCATCCGTAGCAAAGTGCTGAGCAAATTAACCTATGCGAATTTAAATTATCGGCGCATATATCAAGCGCAGTAAATCATAGCGACTGCATTTCATAATGCAAATTCGATAATGGAGCAACAAAAATCTTATTCGATTTTCGAATATAGTATCGCGTATGTATGCGTATCGGCATTATTTCCATTGCATCTATGCACGTTTAATTATTCCCACGCATTTTTCCGGCAATCTTTTTCCGTTAACTGTTTTATAATTGAATCGGTTCGAAAGTGATTTTCGATTAGGCGTTCAGGTATTCCGCGCAGCACGTTGGTAGCCAACGATCCAACTCGATTCAAAGGATGTCCGTAATTTAGCGGCTAGTTCTCTCATGGAAGATCAATGACCGCGGCTTGCAGGCTTGTAACAAGCAGCAATTTAAGTGTCTCGCAGGATAATTCAACTTCTCTCGTTCGTAGAGAGGAGATCGATCGACTTTAACCGTATCGCGCGAAGCTTCTGCAAGCAGATTTGTCGTATTTAAAATGAAAAAGGGCATACGATTTTTGTGTAATCTTTTTTCAAAAAAATGTTGTGAAAATGAAACAAATATCTCTAACGTCACGATTGTGTGGCGCGAGGATATCTCTCTGTAGCGTTGAAATTTGAATTCATCTAAAATTACACGAATTTTCATTTCTGCCGTTCGCTCCATTTAAGCGCCCTCGAAACGAACGAGAGGATTTGCGTTCCGCCCTTTTGCCTCCGCCGTTTTAATTCCATCCTAAGTTGCGGTGCCGCGCCGGTGCCCCCTTAATGCAGAGAATGTAAGATAAGTGGAGGCGCCATACGGCGGGCCAGCCGAGACGCGCCGTATTCGCGGGGATTTACGTCGACGTGCGATGGCATAAAACTCAATTATCAGATTTAGCCCGCCACTTACCATCGCATAGCCGGCATATTACTCGGCTGTGCCATTTGGAAAAATTATACG